TTTCTTGTACTACTGGAGATCCAACCTTACTATGTTAATTAGGTATATGTTACTTTAAATGCTCAGCATCTAGAATTACTGATTACAAGGAAATTCAATGGAAATGTGGATGTTTGAAGCTTTAAATTCATGAAAAGCTAGTTAAATCATGCTTATCAAATAAAAATTTGTGAGCGCATGCGCAAACATCTTCAATCGAAATTCTATTTTAGCTGTGAATCAATCTTCCTTCTTTTCATTTGACTGATGGAAATTTAAACTTTTAAATATTGGAAACAACTTTCTAGCATAAATAGATGGATTCAGCTGTATCTGTTATGCAACTCTCATATCCCACGTCCCTGATGTGATGCCATTTTAGTTACCCATGACAGTCTGATGACTCTAATTTCCATTTCATGGTAATTGCAGATTCAATGTACTAGGCTTACATGAATTTGACAGTGATCGGAAGAGGATGTCAGTAATATTAGGCTGCCCTGACAACACAGTAAAAGTCTTTGTTAAAGGTGCTGATACAACCATGTTTGGTATCATAGATAAATCATTGAGCTTGAATGTAGTGCGAGCGACAGAACTGCATCTACACTCTTATTCCTCAATGGGTCTCAGAACTCTTGTAGTGGGGATGAGAGAAATGAGTGCTTCTGAATATGAGGAATGGCAGTCGTCCTATGAGGCAGCAAACACTTCTGTTATTGGTAGGGCAGCTCTTCTTCGGAAAGTAGCTGGCAATGTAGAAAAGAACCTCACCATATTAGGTGCCTCTGGTATTGAAGATAAATTGCAGGAAGGTGTACCAGAAGCTATTGAGTCCTTAAGAGTGGCAGGCATTAAAGTTTGGGTTTTGACTGGGGACAAGCAAGAGACTGCAATTTCAATTGGCTATTCCTCGAAACTTTTAACGAACAGTATGACTCAGATTGTGATAAATAACAAATCTAAGGAGTCATGTAAAAGGTCTTTGGAAGCTGCACTGACTAGGTGTAAGAGTCTAACACCACAAAATGCTGAGGAAAATATTGTAGCTGGAGCAAGTGCAATTGCTTTAATCATTGATGGAACAAGCCTCGTTTATGTCCTTGATGGCGAACTTGAAGAACTGGTAATGTTTGTAGATCTTAAACTCTCTCTTTCTCTCTCTCTCTCTCTCTCTTTGCTTCTGAATCTATACATAAATACATCAGTACTGTTGCATATCCCCTTTACTTAAACCTGTTCTTCATTTCAATGCAGCTATTCCAGTTGGCCAGTTATTGCTCTGTTGTACTCTGTTGTCGGGTGGCCCCATTACAAAAGGCTGGAATTGTTGCTCTCATAAAGAACCGCGCTGATGACATGACACTCGCAATTGGGGACGGTAAGTGTTGTACTCTTTCTGATGGGGCATTAGGAGTTGTACTGTCTGAAATAAATCTACATGACAAGTGACAAAAGAAAAAAATTTCATAAGCAATACTGATCTAAAATTCATTTTTATAACTTCAGGTGCAAATGACGTGTCAATGATCCAAATGGCTGATGTGGGGATTGGCATCAGCGGCCAAGAGGGACGTCAAGCTGTGATGGCATCAGATTTTGCAATGGGACAATTCAGATTCTTAGTCCCTCTTCTGTTGGTTCATGGCCATTGGAACTATCAACGAATGGGTTACATGATATTATACAACTTCTACAGAAATGCTATCCTTGTTTTTGTCTTATTCTGGTTAGTGTACTTGTAGCGAGAGGTCTCTCTCATGCTTCTCACTATTTCTAGCCTCTAGGACTTGGTAATTTAGACAAAATTCAGTGGAAAGTACACTTAGGCATTACTACTAAACCTTTCTAAGTTTAAAAACGAAACATAGCTTAAAATACTCATTCAATGGCTGTTGTCAAATTGGAATATAGTTATGAAGAGTTAAGTAGTGATGAGTAATACATTCTCAAAATGGGTAATATATGTTAGGCCATTAGCCAGATTGTTTAATGATGTGTGACTAAAGTTTCATGTAGAATGTTAATGGTCCATAGACCATAATAGATAACACTAAAGTATGGATTTGTGAATTTTCCTTTCAGCAACAGTTGACCCTTTTTAATTGTTCTGCTCAGGTATGCTCTTTTTACAGCTTTCACTTTGACCACTGCTCTTACTGACTGGAGCAGCATGCTATACTCCATAATCTATACTGCGGTGCCTACAATAGTTGTTGGGATTCTCGATAAGGATCTAAGTAGAGTGACTCTTATGAAGTATCCACAACTCTACGGTGCCGGACAAAGGCAAGAGAGCTATAACAAGAAATTATTTTGGGTAACCATGATTGACACCTTATGGCAAAGTATAGTGGCCTTCTTTATACCTGTTCTAGCATACTGGGAAAGTGAGATTGATATCTCAAGCATTGGAGATCTATGGACACTTGCTGTTGTTATTTTGGTCAATGTACATCTAGCAATGGATGTGATTCGTTGGTCTTGGATTACTCATGCTGCTATTTGGGGATCTATAGTAGCCACTTTTATTTGTGTCATTGTCATTGACTCGCTGACGTTTCTACCTGGATACTGGTAAGATCACTCTGCTGATTTTCTTACAGATAATCTATTCTTATTTTCTGTGGACACTGCACGTCATTTGCTCATACTGTATTTATATTTACTTAAAACAGTTTTAGGCACTCCCGGAGACTCTTTCATACTACTTGTTAGTCGGTGGAGAAAATTGCCAAAACTAAAAGATTAGAAGAAACCCAAACATAAAGCTTTCGTTTCTGAAGATGGTTGCTTCTTTTCCTTTAAAAGCTAGGTGACCTTTTAGCTTGAGATGCAGTGCCACAGAAAACTAAGACTCCAATTCCACTCTTATAGAGTTATAGTTAATCTGTCTCTAGGCCTGGAGATCTTTGCACACTTAACCTGTATTTGAGTCTTTTGTGCAAATCCAACAGCAAAAGAGAGCAAAATAAATAAATAGACAAACATGGTAGGATATGATTCTTCTTTACTCATATCCTGCTAACTTCAAATAAACCTATTATGCTTTTGTTTATGTCTCGTTAAAAATAGATGTCTCAGTATAGTAGTGTGTCTGTGTGTTTCATTGCAGTTTTCAGATCCCTGTCCCTTCCAAAATTAAGTCTGCAGAGAATGTATTTGAAATTTGATTTCCCATGCAGAAGATGCACTTGCTAAAGCTGAATCACGATGGTCACTAGTATTTCTGCTCGTATCTTGTAAATCAACCAAGAAAACTTTTTTTTCAGTTTTAATTTTTTTTTTTCACAACTTACCAGCTCACATGGTAACTAAGAAGTTTTCAGGATATTCTCTTTATTTATGCTGACAAACTTATCAAGTCAGAGAAGTATATAGACTGATTTGCATGTAAAATCATTTTTGCAGGGCCATATTCCATGCAGCCGCGGAAGCTAAATTCTGGTTTTGCTTGCTTTCCATAACAATTGCTGCCCTTGCACCTCGTTTTGTCGTCAAAGCTTTCATTCAGCATGCTAGACCTCGTGATATTCAGATTGCAAGAGAAGGAGAGAAGTTCAGAAATTTAAGAGACTCTCAGACTGCAGAAATAGAAATGAATCCAATTGTTGACCCTCCTCGACGATGATTGAGCTTTTTACTGAGTTCTCTTCTCCATCACTTCTGCTTGTAAAAAGGTTTTTCTTTATATTTCTTTTGGTTACTTTGGAGATTTCCTCCTTGTTACCGGATTTTGTTTGTTTTGGTATCCAAAGGATAGGAGTAGTTAGTATTCAGGTCCCCATTCTTTGCTATTCATGCACATTAATTGTACATTAAAAAACTGTACAATACTGGTTATATACCTTCATGTAACACCAATTTTCATCAATAGAATGAGCATACACACTCAAGTTTTTTGTTGAATCACTTCCCTGTCTCTATCTAGATTATTGCATCATGTTACACTTTATCTAAACAACCTCTCTACCTCCACGAAATAGTGGTAAGGTCTGCGTAAACTCTACTCTCCCCAAACCCTACTTAGTGGATTTCACTGGGTATGTTGTTACGTTGTTCTTTAACTTATTGCTACTCCTTGCATGATGTTAGTACCAAGCCAGTGAATTGTGAAATTGCCCATTGTGTTGACTGTTATAAAAGGGTCATTGATACCTTTCAAGGTTTACATTGAGAAGAAAGTTCCATGTATTATGATTGACTACAATTTTAATTCTAGTTTATCTAATTTGCTTAGTAACCAAGAAACTCTCTGTGGTAGGCTTCATTAGTCAACCATATTATGTGTTTGAAAGTGTATGTTATGTGGTTGAGAAGAGGTGATCTTATTGTATGTACGCATTTCAACTTTTTTATATTACCTATAATTTCAGTTAAAAGTAATTGATTCATTCGAACGTTAAACTCATTTTAGATTCACCTCTACGGTATGATTAAGCAATGGTGGATCTTAAAGGTATAGGTTTACAGAGATGTAGTAGCTTGTGTAAGCTCAATCATTATAGTATATTAATAATTTGCGATTGTTGTAAAAACTTGCACAATTTAAATCTTAAATCTCGATTGATTTGCCCAGAAACAAGCTTAAAGAAATGAATATGAGTATAAAAAGTCAAAGTTTGAAATCTTTAATTTATGAAATGTCATGAAAGAATGCACCTCCACATGATTTTCCATGAATTCAGCCCCCATTTTGAAACGTAACATGATATCTTGTCAATGAAAATTATGGTTGAACGAGTCTCTATTGACTATTGTCTCATATTTCACAGAAGTTTCCATAAAAGAACATCTCTCTACAGAAATTTTTAGTTTATACTTTCTTTTTTGTGTGTGTTTATAAATTTTGATGGATAGAGTTATCTAAGCATAATAAAAAAGTGACTAAAATCAATAAGAATCTGAACAGTTTTCTAAAAAGTACAAAAGATTGATTTATAGTAGTGTAATAATAATCATTTGACTAAGGGGTGGTTTTCACAAATAGCATTTTTGGGTGCGGTTTAGTCCATGGTCCATTGGATGATCGGTGCAAGGCCCACCTTTTAAATTTTAGGCTCCTTAAAAAAAAGGTACAAGGAATAGCTATTTGCTTACAAATTTTGGCTCAAATGTAGAGTTTAACCTCAAAAGAGTACTGAAACCTCATAGCCAAAAGTGCTGCAATAGAGGCTACTAAATAATTGAAACTAATTACTACTATCCTAGTGGTATAAAGTTACATTTTGTACAAGAAAAGGTCCATTGATCATTGGATATTTGCATAAGTTCTTACACATGACCAGGGGACTCTTGGTTGCCATAAGTGTCTCTATTCCAAGGGTCTTGGACCTGAGCTGCAAACTGCAAGTTCCATATCAAGTCTTCTACAGAAGGACGCTGCGATGGTTCATCTGAAAGACATTTTATGCATAGTTCCATTAATGTTCTAAGAGAACTATCTGAGCATTCCTTCCGAACAGCTGGATCAATGATGTTCCTCCGTGCTATCTCGTCAGCTGTTAAGCTAACTATTAGCTGCAATAAGAACAACAAGAAAAGGTTTTAACACAATAGTTCTTCAACTTGATGACATGAAAGAATTTCTCATAAGTGACTCTTACAATGTCTTTAGAAACATCTATATCATTTTTTGTATCGATTGTCCTTCCCGATATGATTTCAAGTAAGATTACTCCAAAGTCATACACATCATCTTTCTCCTCGTATTTTAACCTGCATGCAGGAATATTAACAAAAGAAGGAATTCATTAATACGACTGAAAGTCTAGTAGACAGTAGAGTACTATCTCGGAATCTCCTAAGACGGTTCAAGTCTATGACTCTATATATTGTCTTCAGGGATCATAACCAGTGAATGGCATGATGCTATAACGTTGCCTACCCTCAATAGCAGTTGCTGGAAAGGTGTTGTCTAGAATTGGTCGAGATACACTTAAGATTCTCTAAAACCTTTTTAGACCAATTTGCATTTATAAGTATAACAAGATTAGTTTCCAACAGGTGCTTCTAAAATCGAACCATAAAAGTGGAGTAATGAAGACCTAAAATGTAGCAGCAGCAGCTGAGAATGATGAGATCATTTACCTTTGTCCATCATTTCCCTTTGATCCACTAGAAGACGGTCCAGCATCCTAAGAACAGTTGAATAACGAAATGTGAATGTTCAAGAACGAAATGAGTGATTAATAGAGACTATAGTAGAGAAGAGAGGTTTGCATACCATTTTCTTATTTTCAATTAACAAAGGCAGGTTGTATTTGCTAATCTTAACGTGGAAATTCTGATCCAGTAATACATCTGTAATCTTCAATTGATTGGAGAATATCCCTGGTACTATTCCAGTATGAAGGAACTGAATTCCCTTCGCTATCCCTATTGCAGCTGACATCCGTTGCGTCCAAGTAAACTTTTGAGCTGAATTTGCTTCTACAAAACCGAGCATTTGCAAAGAATTCAGAACAACTGTCTTAAAGACAATACGCACCTGTACATTTAAGCATACGGCAACGAAGAAACAACGCGTTGCATAATCTAGGAGAAAGTAATTAAAAGCACTTCATGTCTCGTTGAAATTCATCAGCACTTCTGTGAAGAAGTGCAATTTAGTAGGCACTTGTCGTGATTGAGGACAATCTAGTAATATGTATCAAAACAATATGAAACAGATTGTTGCAAAGATGCTTGTTTTCTACAACGTGTACGTACCACGAATTCATTTACTTCGACTTTGTATAATTTGAATTCATTTACTTAGACTCTGTATAATTTATGTATATGGTAGAAATAGTCAAATAGCTAAAACTAAATGATCAATTATAAACTGTAGCAGTTGTTGTGCCAAATGATAACTCGCGAATCAGATGAACTTTTCTAGACTATATACCTGATATGACCCCCCGCAGCGTCACATTTGGCACGAATTCAAAGACTAAACATATTCGGCTAACACTTGAGTCATCTTGGTAGCACTCAAAGCAGTGTCCAATAGTACTAACTAAGTGGCTGTATCTGATCTTTGAAATACGCCCTAGTTGGTGAGTGTAGGACTGGACAGTATGCCTCCTCTTCATTTTTATGCTTCTTATAGCAACCACAGTGCCATCTGTGAGACGCCCTTTGTAAATCTATTGTTCAGCATATAGAAAAGCACAATCAGCATCCACCAAAGATGCAAGAGAATTGAAGAATGAACTACAAAACAGTCCATGTGGACTAACATTGTTCAAACAGTCTTACAGTATTTAGTAAGGAAATAAATACCTGCCCACTGGAGCTTGCACCAATTAGATTTGATATATCGAAGTTATTAGTAGCCTCTCGAAGCTCATCCAAGACAAACGTTCGATAAGGAGGGGCCCCAAGCAAACCCAACTTCCTCGTTTCAGAAAGATACCCTATCAAGAATCAAAAAGCAAGATACATCTTGAAATTTAGGCAAGAACAGAGTTTATTCCAATTACACAGTATTGGACAATTTCCTGAAGCAAATTGATATTTTCAATCTATATATAAAGAAACTCCTATTGTGGAATAATGCTTTAGTTCAAATGTTTATATAGACTTTTCAAGTACAATGATGACAACAACAACAACAGCAGCATAATCAGTGTAATCACACAAGTGGGATTAGGGGAAGGTAGAGTCTACATATACCTTACAGAACATTAGATTTACAATTATCAGGCTCTAAAAACTTTCACAAGTTGAAATCATTAACATAATGTGTTTGTGTGAGAGAGAGAGAGAGCTTACTTGCATCATTAAGCAGCTTAAGTGTGTGAGCAGGAGAGACCTTTTCAAGTATCAATCTTGTTTGAGGGGCTTTGCTAGCTTTCTGCTTGACATACTCCCTTCTAACAACCACGAAAGCCAAACCGACAATCGCTACTACTCCAACAAAACCTCCTACCATACTTGATGCAAGAACAGCTTTACCATTTCCCCCTTTAACCTTTCTCTTATGAGGCTCAATACTAACAGCCAAAGCTTCATTATGGCAAAATGAATAAGGATGCTGCCATTGCTCTTTATTCGACAGACAATTTCCAGAAAACAATACAATCTTGGAACCAGAACTAGGGTGCAAGCAATCAGGCAACTCCCCTGTCAAGTAATTTGATGATAAATTCACAAATGAAAGGTCTTGACTACATGTCACATTCTTTAGAAGCTTCCCAGTTAGTTTATTTCCAGAAATATCGAAATAGCTGAGTGATGGCAATGATAAAATTGTTGGTGAAAAGGGTCCAACAAACTCATTAGAAGAAATGTCCAGTTTCTTTAACTGATAACATGAACTCAGTTCTTTTGGTACCCCTAAACTGAACTTATTCTTCCTAAGTACCAAAGATACCAACTTGGTTGGAATATTAGGGAAATTAGGTCCAAGATTGTTACTTTCCAAATCAAGAACTTGAAGATTTGACAGATTATGAAGGTTTGGAACAACCCCAGAAAAATTATTACCAGAAATAGAAAGGATTCTTAGGGTTTGTAAATTTGACAAAGAATTAGGCAATGAACCAGAAAATGAATTGTTCTTGATACTCAAAACAGACAACGAATGAAGTAAGCCTACCCCTTCAGGAACTTGGCCTGTAAACTCATTATTATCCAATATAAGTGTCTGAAGACTCTTCAAATATGAAATCTGTCCTGGAATCTCACCATAAAAGAAGTTTGAACTGATATTAACAATCTCCAAAGAAGATAAAAATCCAATCTTTTTAGGTAAAGTTCCTCTCAAACCTAAAGAAACCAAAGAAAGCACCTTTAAATTAGGCAAAAGAGCAAGATTAGAGAAAAGGGTATCTGTAGAAAACCCCTGAGGCAAATTAGGGAACCAGTTATAGCCAGAAATATGAAGCTGTGTTATGTTATCTTCATAACACATTAGTGTTAAGGCAGTGTTTGGCTCACTGTTACAAAAATCTGTATTGTCACTCCAACTACTCAAATCTTGAGGGAAGTTCAAAAGCTGCTTAATTTTCACTATGGCTTCAGATTGTGAAGGTTCTAAGAACTCATCTGATAAATTAAACAGAAGAAACACCATGTATACAAGAAGCCAACATGAACCCTGCCCTGTTTTTGCAATTCCCATGACAAATGCAATTTTTTTGCTTATCTTTTTGAGGAATTAAAGCTGTAAACTTCAAGAAATACTTGGGGTTGAAGAAGCTGCATGCATTTTTAAAGAATACAGTCACTAAAAAGTAGAGAATTATGTTTCTTGATAGTAAATTTAGGATACTCTGTAAGCACGTTTGTGAGTAGTAATATATGCTTTTCTTTATATCTTTTCGAAGCTTTTGTTTTTCGAGAATTAAATTATTCGGATTATGATTAACATTTCAAAATTATTATTTTTTTATATGTATAAGGGTTTAAAGATTAATCAAATTAACTTTCAATAAAAACGTAATAAATTAAAGTAAATAAATAAAACTTTTATTAATTTTAAAGATTAATTAAATTATATTTTATAAAAAATGTGATAAGTTAAAACGAACGAACAGATTAATTCATTCTCTAGTGTATTAAAAATTAATCACGTTCATGAACGATATGTAGTACTATGAAGTTTTTTTCTTTTAAATTGATGAATTTGTATAGAAAATTTGTTAGGTGCATAGTCCTTAGACCATTTACAAGAACTTAGGTGGTATGAATATACCATATCATATTAGTTTATTTATTTATGGTTAAGTAGTAGATTGAGGTAAGTATGTACACTAATTATAATTACGATTAAGTAACTTTATTGTGATTAAGCACTTAGATCAAAGTTCGCGTGTAGATGAAGATGATGCATATACAATCTTATTTTTATTTATTAATATCATTGATATTTAGGGAGATATACTTTAATAATAATTTTTGAAGTGTTTAATACATATTTGAAACTTAAAGCAATTACTCCGATTCATATTTTAAATATTAAATGTTTTTAACCCTTTTATTTTATTTTCAATATCTTTCATTTATTTTTGAACTTAAAAGTTTGTTAAAATTTGCTCATTTTATCAACTGAAAAGTCGATTACCAATTGAGACAAAAATATGGCTGAAACATATAATTACAATAATTTATCATTTTTTATAAAATACTTAAAGTTGACCTCGTGAAGCGCAGAAAACGTAGAGCACAATTCCCAAGACAAACAGAATAATAAAATAAATTGTGACAACATAATTTGTCCAAAAATTAACTTCATACTATAAAGTTTTTTGCCTAAAATAATTTCATTCATTTATCTTGAATATATAGGAGTCTCCTATGTAAAATTTAAGCCACAATTACTTTAAAATTCTACAAGAATTCCCATATTTATTAATAATAGATCGAGCAATAATATATTTTTTAGTCAAGAAAAAATAATTTTTAAGTTCGCATAATTCAATTATAATTGCAAAACTTTTTACAAATAAATCGGATATGTTCCTAGTTAGTGTGGTTTTCTGGTCACAATTTTACTTTTTGCTAAAATAATCTACGATGAATCTTTCTGATGATTAGAAATAAATATATATATATAATTTTCAATATTTGCCTAGATATGTACAACACTATAAAGTACCAGAAGCACTTTAATTAGATTAGATTAATATTAATAGATCTTTTATCCTTCATATATTGAATCATAAATAATAGTATTTTTTATTCGTTTTATTTCCACTATTTTAAAAATAACTTTTTTACTTTAACTTAACACTTTTAACCTATTTAAAAAATATTATATTTTATTTTCAACGTTAATAACTTATTTCACAAATTATTTTTCAAAACCTCATACTAAATATTAATTAATTAATATATGTATTATGATAAAATACTCTATTTCAATTATTATTCTTAAGAAACATGTGATATTCAACGTGAATGAATGAAGTATTTAATTTAATTAGAAAGGCTTCTTAATTGTTAGTATAATTATTTAATTAGGTATTGCAGCAGAATCCAACCTGAGTACATTGAAAATGTCAGTTAAATTAATTATCTGGGCAAAATTCAAAGAAGAGTTTAGTTAAAAAGGGAATATATATCAGACAGTAATTAATCCAAAATACTCAGAAGTAGTACTATATAGGCACTTGTAACAAAAAAAACCAAGTGGGTATCTTCACACTATGCACACAGCTCCAGGTTATTCCGAAACAGTTGATTAGAGTTATACGTGTATTAATAATTAATTATAAAAAAAATAAAATATTAATTATAGCATTTAGTTTTTTATATAAAAATTATCTCCAAACTTAAATATATTTCAATTAGAAAAAATAATTGTATATTAAAACATGACACATTGTTTGTAAAAGATTTACTCAAAGAGGTGATTCGGTAATTATTTATATTTTATTCGGATCATTGTTATCCATTGTTTCATAATATATTGTATTGTATTGTATTATATTATATTGTACTGCATGGTATGGTAGATACAATTGGCTAGACTGTATTGTTTGTTATTGCTTAATAACATTTTAATTGTTTGGTTTGACCGTATCGTACTGTATTGTAATTTATAAATTTACTAAAATACGTTTAATTATTCTAGGGTACGAGGTTTGACTAGATTAAAGAATTAAGATGAAGGGTAAATTAGTATTTTGAAATTTTATGTAAATATATAATTGGAAAAAGAAATTAAGTAACATCAAAAACACACAAAATTGGTTGTTCTATAAAATATGGGTTTTCATTGTTACGTAACAACAAAATTTAACAGTACAATATAATACATTTTAAGGAACAATTAAAATAAACATTATAAATATAGTAGCGATACAAGACAATACATTGAATAACACTGATCCAAACATAGTGTTAGAGTTATTCGAATATTACAATTAGAAATGATTTTTTCAATTTCAAACTCCAAAAACCATTCCTAAAAGATTTTCCCTCTTTTATTTGAGGATAGTATTATTTTATCCAATTTTACTTTTCTAGACACGATTTAGAGTCTGTTTGGCTTAGCTTAAAAGTTGGTCAAAGTGACTTAAAAGTTGATTTTTGACTTATTTAACTGTTTGGCAATACTTAAAATAGCTTATTTTAAGTTTAAAAAAACTTATTTTAAGCCAAAAGTTAAAAGCTGGGGTAGGGGTGCTTTTTTTTTTTAGCTTATAAGTTGTTTTAAGTTGACCACATTTTAATGTTTTTTCCCTTAATATTTTTATACAATCTCCAAATTACCCATATAACCCTAACATCTCTTTCTTCTATTTTTTCCTTTTCACGTTTGGCATAACAACTTCAGCATTTTTATCCAAACACATAACTGCTTATTTTAAAAATAAGTTTCAGCACTTTAAAAAGTATTTTTTTAAAATTGCTTTTATTAAGCCCATTCAAACGGGCCCTTATGTGTCTATTAAGCCCAAATTAATCATTTAGTCCAAAAGAACATGTTAAAACTTAATACAATATAATTTATACGTCTACAACTTCAACGTTAAAAGATTACTAAATATTAAATAATTTTAAAACACACGTTAAAACTTAATTAACAAGATAAAAAGTAACTATTCACCTATTTTTGTCTATCCAAAATAGTACTAGCATTTTATTAAAATAAACAAAATCATAACTTTTTATTTTTATTTAAAAAACTCAAAAGATATGAAAAAATATTTTTTTTCAAAATCAGAAAAAAGAATAGTGAGGACTGGTGAAGTAATTGTGCAGTGAAAAGCCCATTTTATTATCATAGAGGCCAAGTCACATTTTTTTGTCATTAACTAAAAAAGAAACATTTGGGAAAGTGACTTAACCAAAAAATTAAATCTCATAGAATCGACCAACATTTCTCTTTATATATATATATATTCTTAAAAATGATATTTTTAACAATTTCATTTATCTATAAAAAAAAAGTATACGTTAGAATTTCATACGATCGAATTCAAAAGTATAAAACGAGAATCCATCGTCAAAATGGACATTGGACTCAAGAAGACCATGAGTCTCCAGGTAAGAAGTCGGCCTCCCAAGGTTGATATCATCGAGTTGCGTCCTCTCGATAGTCAAAATAAGTTCAAATATAGATATTTTATTTATTTTTTCATATGATTTTATGGTTAGATTCAAGATAACTCAAAATTTAATCAATCTTAACTCATTTAAATGTTAATTAATTTAAAAGGATCTTCAACTGAGTCCAATTTAATCTCTAAGACAATGTATTTTTAAACTCCTTATATAAATTAGTGCAATGTAGGTTTCCAGGTGACTTTCTATCGCGTAATCAAGAAATCATTTTTCTATTTTCTTGAGTCGATATGCAATTTGTGGTTATAAAAGATAAATAATAATATGTTAAAAGTTAAAACTCTTGAAAATTTAAGTGAGCCATGACTCAACCCAACGTTTAAGCTCATTTAAGCACAAAATAAATTTAAAAAAGTCATAACCCAACCTTATTTCCAATTTAACCTATTTTAATTTCTCCAATTTCAACTCAATCTGCTTTCTCGTACTTTTTATTATTGATTATTAAATACCATAGTATAATATATTTTTATCATATACATGCCAATGCCAATTATAATTTGATTGGACCAAATATATGTAGAGTAGCTATATATAGTTGGAGACCAATAATGTGGTAGTCCAATATTTGTCCAAACTAGTGTCACATGTCACAGAAAGGAAGAAAAAAAGTACCCATTTTGGTCACTGAATTGAGAGCAACATAACAAACCTGTCTTTTTCCCTCTGTTGAAAATATTGAAGAAATTAAATATTATATAATAATATATAGAGACATACACTAGAATCCATGTTACATATAACATCAGAGTGTCACGGATGTGCTTGTGACATCTTGAAGTAATATCAGTCACAAGTAACAATGGTAGTATCCGGAGTTCACGTCAGAGCTCTGATTAAAGTTGAATCGTCTTCTGTAGGACTTATTCGAGGGTAATGCTCTCAACAAGATTTTCTCTATTTTCGGAGCTCGAAATAGAATTTCTTGATTAAGAATGAAACAGTTCTGCCACTGCACTACAACCGATGTTGTCATATATACCAACTAGAATTAGGCTTATGCATATATATGATTTGATACATTTGAATGGGGTCTGACTTCAGTAGGAACGATATATATCTCTTTATCTAATAATCATAGAAAAATTATTTTCGATGAATTGTACAAATACTCGATTTTGGAGTCACTATTTAACTTGTAATCGTTTTTACTTTTTTTAAAAAAAATTTATTCGCTTCATAAACAATTTTTATAATTTAGATATTTTGTTTGAAGCGTGGTCTTGCGAGGGCCAAATATCAAGATTTTTTTTTTGTCAAAAATAACTTAATTATTCTTTGAATTTCAATAATTTTAACACATAAAAACTTTTGTCATACTTAAACTTATGCTTTGCAGATTAGATACTACAAAATTTATATCGAACAATACGAAACTAGATCATAACTACTTTAGCCCATGGATAAAATATAGGTTGATATTCATATTTAACTCATAAAAATATGGATATAGTATGAATTAGTCAAATTGGACATGCTTCTAACTATTATTCACTATAAATTTATGATATCACTAAAAATATTGTATTATTTCTTGCTTTTTATGTTCTTCTATAGAACTAATTATTTTTCACTATAGTTGAAAATGTGAATTCTTTGGTCTTCCAAAAATAGATTTTTTAAATTTACATTTCTTTTGTTACTTATCATTATATTTTTTTATTTTATATTGGATAATAAATACATAGTGTAAAATAAGAAATCACGTATTAGTATTGACATTGTTTAAAGTGCATTAAACATGTTTTAGTCCTGAAATGCAAATATTCATTTACTTTGAAATTAAAAATATTCTCCCCTTGTCATTACATAATTTTATTTTTATATTGAAAAGCTATAGGAAGATTGAATTATTTTTCATTTTATATTGACCAATTTTCAACCCGTCCAAATTTGACCTAACCCGTTATTTGTCAACACTAGTTGGGCCTGTGGTTAGAGAATTGTTGGACTTGTTGGATCAAGGATCCGATCCAACAAACAATAGAAAATGGTTAACTCGGCCCAGCCCAACAAGGTATACACAAAATATTTGAAATTAGAATCAACAAAAGGACTCTTGACAACATATATTATCATTTAAACCAAGAAAAAATAAATTCACATTTGAAAAAGGGATGTTATTTTCTTGAATTTTAAAAATGTTTTTTTAACGGTGAAAAAGTAAAACATAAAATGAATATATAAGGGTATTCATATCCAGTTTAGATTAAAAATAATTTTATTATACTTTTAACATAAAATAAACAAGATACATATAATATTCAGAATTTTTTTTAAAAAAAACTTTATGTTTTATAAAGAAAAAATTCACAAGAAGTTTATAAAAGAGTTGACATGATTAAAACAAAAGTAATTACTTAAAAAAAGGATCATAAAAAGGAGAAAAGGCATAACTTATAGTCAAAGAAAAAAAGGGATAGAAGAACTCCAAAATGAATAAAAAATGGAAAAGCAACCAAGTAAAAAAAAAAAGGCAAAATAACATGAAAAACTTTTTTTTTTTTTGAGACTTTAGAATATTTATTTTGTGAATAATAGGATAAAACAAGTAATATTTTTAAAACATAGTCCACAATTTATTTGTATCATGAGGCAGGAATTGATAATATCTAATTATTATTTAAATATATTTATAGAATTTTTATTTTAAAAATTCATAAACTCAAAAATTTATATTCTACAATGTGGAATCACTTTTGTTTATATTTTATATGAATTTTTAAATAAATAAAATCTCTATTTATATGAAAATTTGATGAAAGATCAATATTTGACATTGAGGTAGATTATAATTTGTCATATCATCATTTATGTTTATGTATGTTTTACTTTCAACAAGTATATAATATTTTACTTTCAACAAGTATATAATATTATAATTTGCCATATCATCATTTATGTTAATGTATGTTTTACTTTCAACAAGTATTTGATGAAAGATCAATATTTATATCTAATATCTATTCATATCCTTTCAGATAAAGTATTCATAATATTTCATATTGTATGTATAGAAATTATAACTTTTAAAAGTTACATAGTATATATGTTATTCGTCTAAGCAAAAGAATAATTTGTCACAATATAGCCTAATCTAGTTTACTTCATCACAAAATGAAGTCAATAAAAATTAAATCGAAAACTAGTAATTGAAGGCTAAATCATTAGTCTAAGAGATTTGGTTATCAAATAAAAATTACAATTCAAAAGGTTAATGATCTTTTTGTATAATTAATTTATTGTAAATCTATATGACAATATTTAATACAGGTTAATTTTAATGATGAGAGAGTAATCATAAGCTATTCGACACGTGGGTGCTTACTTACGTGCAAGCGTGCGTGCGTGTGAGCGAGCGTGCGTGCGTGCGTGCTCATTATAATTTCATTTAAGTATTCTGATTAAAATGAGCATCTTTATTCATTTACTAGTCATTTTATATGTTTCTTATACTAGTGTATGTTGTATATGTATTGATCTTCGTAAGTTTTGAACCTTTTGATCATGAGATGTTATTATTTGAATTTTGACTCGAATAATTGATAGTAAGACGTTATAAATATACTCAAGTAAGTTCATTTATTGTAATAAATATAATTTCTCATTAAAGACTATTGTAGTCAAACTTATTTATTATCATTGAATATTTCATATCGCATTACAAGTTATTTTTCTAAAATAAAAAAATGGACAATCACAATAAATCACTTATGTGCTAAAATCTAAGATATAATTAATTCGGGCCTCTTAGGTAATTGACCGCCCAAAATCCCACATCGAAAGTAGATCATCTTATACAGATACATAATATTGTTATAAACGAAGATACAATAAAGAGTTTATATTTTATGTTACACTTACATGTTCTAATAAGAATGAATCTCTTATGGTTTCAAAACTGTTGATGAACTAGAGAGCTTAAAAAAATTATTTTAAAGGTGTTGTATGTATAACTATTTATTTTTATTTTCTTAATTCTCAAGTTAATATTTTTATGAGTATGCATTCATTTGTTTGATACTTAATTCTAATGTCAGTTTAAACTCATTTTTGTTCCAGAAGTGAATTTTGGTGAAATCATCATTGGACGCGATTGATTGATCAAAATCAAAATATTTTATATTTTGTTGAATCATAAAATACGCAGTTTTTTTAATATGGGCAAAATACCATCAAGATCTTTTCATTTTCGTCAAGGTGAGTGATTTCAATGTCACTATTATATTTAAATTTAACTAATAGCCTGTGTATTTGCTTGTGAAGTCTCACTTCATTTTCTGTAATGTGATTAACGTAAAATTTTAAAATACCAAATAAATAATTTTTATCAAATTCAAAAAGGTAAAATTGGATCAATTTTAATGGGTAAGCCGTAATTCAATCCTTCTCATGAACTTCAAATTGATAAGATTAAAATAATTAAAAAAGAAGAATATAAGATTAATATAAATCAAAATAAATTTAGGATAAATCATGGAAAAAATATTAAATCTCTCAATAATATTTGATTTTAAAAATTAAGCAAGCAAAAAGTCTCGATTCATTTTCTAGAATGAGATTAATGGATATAATAGTAAAATTTTTGAAGTATCAAACAATTTTATTTTATCAAATTCAAAAACACTATATTGGACCAATTTTAATGGATAGATCTAATCTGACACATCTCTTGAGCTTCAGATTGATAAGATTAAAATAAATTATAACAAATTTAAGATAAATCATGAAAAAATATTAAATCTCGTCAAAAATATTTAACTTTTAAAACTAGGTAGATAATAAACTTTGCCCTTCTATCAATTTTTATAAAGAGAAAGTAGACTAACAAATTAATTTTTTTCTCAACTCAATCCTCATATAGAATGAATTAATATTTTAATTGATTTTTTTACATGTTAAATTATTTATATACGAGAATAATTTCTTATAAGCTCTAAATTTTAAGTACTCTTCCATTACATGTATAAAATAAATGTATGTATTTTGATACATTTTTTCAAAAAGTATTTTAAATATGTCTCCTTATGAGAAGATGTTCAATATGAATAATTAAGTTAATTTATTCATAATTTTAAACGTATAAATAGTTTCTTATGAAGTACTTTCACTATGTTACTTTTGTATTTATAAATCAAATAAAACAAAAAATAATAGGTTGTTTTTTTATTTCCATCATCACTCCTGTCATGTTTTATCAACTTTTTTTTTCTTCAATTTTTTATATTTATTTCTCGTATAGGTATTCAAAAGTTATACATATATATATATCAAAGAAAATTTTGATATTTTAGTAGTATGCAATGACCTTTGTGGTTTGGTTAAATTTAGTTTTTGATTTTATAAATTTACTTAGTTATGATGTTAAGTAAGAAATAACTAAAAAATTTATCTATATAAATATTTATTCAAAAATTATAATTATACATATATGTGTATGTATGTAAATTTTAAAATTTTTTACTGCGCAAATTAACCTTTTGCAACTTTAGTTGATAATTTATAAATGAAGTCATTTTAATTATTTGCTTTACATTTTAGTTTGATTTGCCACTTCTATTTTTCTAATTTTAAAAATTAATTTTACATAGTTTGTATTCGAGTCATTTTTCTGTTCATTATTATTATTTAATTCAATTATCATTAAGATATCTTGATATATATTAACTAAAGGCAAGGGTATTGATGATTCAGTTTGAATCGATTATTGATTAAAATCAAATTAAACCAAATAAAAAAAATAATCGAAAAAATCCATCCCCATATTATTATCCCCCAATTTTTGAACAATGCAATGCAATTATTTCCATCAATTTACTATGAAATTATCCCTTTTAATAAATGGTAAGGAAAAAAGACAACCTTAATAAATTGTTCTAAAACCCTTTTTCACAGTTTCAAGAACCCCCCCACTTCAGTAGTCGTTTTTCTCTCTCTTTTACGCTTCTGGAGAAGCTCATTGTACGAACAGTTTTGTTTAATTAAGCCCCAAAAGACTGAATTTTTCTATCATAGTTCAAATTTATCAATTTTAGGTTTTGGTTTACATGATGGATGCTCCTATTATTGGTAAGCTTCTGTTTCTTGAAAACACTCGTACAAAATTCTTGATTTTTCTGTTTTTTTGTGTGGTTTTCTTGAAGTGTGGTTGATTTGTTTGTTTTTACGTCGTTTGTGGGTTTGTGAAAGGGTAAATTTTGTTATGTTTTTACCTAATGTTTGTATAGTTCTTGTTTTCTCGAAGAAAGAATCCAAAATACACATGTAGAAAGATCTTCCTTTTTGCTGTTTTAGTTGGGTTGTTCTTGTGGTTTTCTTGGAGGAAAGGACCCCTTTCTCCAAGAAAACCACATCGCAACATGACTAAGCAGAAAAGGAAGGTCTTTGTACATGGGTGTCTCAAACATAGGTGCGCAAAATAGGGATAAATTTGATTCTTTTCTTCTGTTTAATTTCTGTTGATATGTGCTCTGTTGACATGTGCATTTGTTTTTTGGGTTCTTTTCTGGGATTAAGACCCATTGCAGGGGGTTTTCCCTGAAATTATAGAGGAGTATTTGGAGAGTGGGATCATGAAGTGCATAGCCTTTAATCGTCGCGGCACCCTTCTTGCAGGTACTGTGAATAATCTTTTACTGAACTCCTCTTCCCTTTTGATTGTGCTTTTGACATGACTAACATGACTTCAAGAACAAAAAAAAGAATGAAATTGAAAGAGCTACATAAATCAAAATTGTGTGTTGATTCATGTAGCTCTTTTGCTTTCGTTCTTTTTTGTTTTGTTTCTGAAGCATCATGCTGAATGTGATAATGATAGTCAATTGATATCTTGAAGCAACTCAAATATCTAGTTGTTGCAAAAAAGATTAGAACTTTTTGGTGGTTGTTTAGATTAATAACTCTTAGGAAAGATATACCAATACAAAAAGTAACTTTTCGGAATTATGTGCTGCCTTTGATTTTACAGCTGGATGTGCTGATGGAACTTGCATTATCTGGGATTTTGGGACCAGAGGCATTGCAAGAGAATTCAAGGACGATGACTCTGTTGCCTCTATTACGAGTGTTTGTTGGTCAAAGTATGGTCATCGCATACTTGTCTCCGCTGCTGATAAGTCCTTGTCACTCTGGGATGTTGTCAGAGGAGAGAAGATTACTCGGATCACTCTACAGCAAACCCCTTTACAAGCTCGCCTATATCCTAGGTCCACTACTCCATCTATTTGCTTGGTGTGCCCCCTTTCATCTGCTCCTATGATTGTTGACTTGGAGACAGGAAGTGTGACTGTGCTCCCTGTCTTGCCTGCTGAAGGAGGGAATGGGGTTGCTCCTCCTTCAAAAAATAAATTTTCAGATGGATCTGCCCCATTTACTCCTACTTCTGCTTGCTTTAACAAGTATGGAGATCTGGTGTATGTGGGGAACTCCAAAGGGGAAATACTAATAGTTGACTACAGAAGTGTTCAAGTGCGTGGTATCGTTCTTGTTCCAGGCAATGCTGTTATAAAGAATATCGTGTTTAGCAGAAATGGACAGTATCTCTTAATAAATTCAACTGATCGTACAATAAGGATTTATGAGAACCTTCTTCCGGTAAAAAATGCTCTTGCGGGTCTAGATGAAGCAACCAAAGACCTGAATGATCTGGAAGGGGTCGAGAAGCTGAAAGCTGTTGGAGCGCTATGTTTAACTTTGTTTCGGGAGTTTCAGGATTCTGTCACCCGAGTGCACTGGAAAGCTCCGTGTTTTAGTGGTGATGGTGAGTGGGTTGTTGGTGGTTCTGCTAACAAAGGGGAGCACAAGATCTATATTTGGGATCGGGCTGGTCATCTTGTGAAAATTCTAGAAGGACCAAAGGAAGCGATAGTGGATCTAGCTTGGCATCCTGTCAACCCTGTTGTAGTCTCTGTTTCTCTGTCTGGGTTAGTCTATATATGGGCGAAGGACTTCACCGAGAATTGGAGTGCATTTGCTCCCGATTTCAAGGAACTTGAAGAAAATGAGGAGTATGTTGAAAGGGAAGATGAATTTGATCTCAATCCTGAAATTGAGAAGGTGAGAGTGTTATTTGTTGGACTCGTTGAATAGGAAAGAAGCATAGATAAGGCATCCTTCCTACTTCCTTTTTCTGTTTTTGATATGAACATGATGCTGCAGGTTAAAGGGTCTGATGTCAACGAGGATGAAGATGTTGATATAGATGGTCTGGAGAATGATTCAGCTTTCAGTGATTCAGATTTGTCGGAAGATGAAATTTGCTTTCTGCCTGCTGATCCAATTCCTGATGCTCCAGAGCAACAGGACAAGTGTGTTGGTAGTAGTTCAAAGCTAGGTGAGAGTGGGTCTCCTTTTTCAGAAGAGGCTGGACAAAATGGGCCAGCGAATCATGAGTCCAGTCCATTTGAAGGCGGTAAGACATTTACGATTATATTTTAAATGAATCGAACTATTATGAATTCTGTGATTCCAAATTTATTATCCTTGGTGAGTGTAAACTCCTTGTTATGTAATGTGAAAGAAAATGTTGATAAAATCTATATCCAGTTGACAATCCTAAATGGCAGCCTTCTAAGGTTAATTTTTCTGTCTTCTTGTTGTTCCAAATTTCAATGGAAATTTCTTTACTTGATCTGGTTCAGACATCAAAATTTACTCTCCTTCCATTGCAAGGTCAAATTAAGTTTCTGACTTCTTGTTGTTGCAAAATAATAGATAATGAAAAGATCAACGGTCTTTCTCTATTGCATCTCTATTTCAGAGGCTACAACTTTGTTTCTCCTCATCTCCTCTGTGTAATTGTTGACTAAAATATTCTCTGTGCTTATGAAGCTGCTGCTGATGTATTTTTGTACTTATGTGCAGTGTACTGATAGTCTATCCCATGCATTTGTTCCATTCATATCATTGCACCAGTTGAAACTGAATTTACAAAGTTTTTTGCTATTTTAGTTAGACTTCTATACGAATCTTGATAATAAGGTAACTCATAGATAATTCTGCTGCAGAGGACACAGGCACGACAGGCTTGAAAAGGAGAAGAAAACCTTCAGAGAAAGTATTGGAACAGCAAGCTGAGAAGGTTAAGAAACCCCCACAGAAGACGAAGCCATCTGGTAAACCTCAAAACTAAAAGAATGCCTGCAAAACATTTATGATGTTGTGGATAGTAACTTCCAGCTATTGAACATCTTCAAGTTTTTATTTTGCTTGTTGTTGTTGAAAGGCCTCATGTGGTCATCTTTCCTGGTATAATGGGTGATACATCACTCAAACCTTTATTTATATCTATTTGAGTACTATGTTTAACTCAAGAATTAGTATGCCTATGAGCATTCCTTGAGACGTTCCTATGAAGTATGAACTTCAGTTCTAATGGATGTTGTGTTTAGTTTAGCTTTTGGTTCAATTCCTTTTGTCGATCTGAAACCTTCCCTCCTCCCCACTCTATCTCTCTGTGCCTTCCATGTGAAGAGAAAAAAGCTTTTTGTTATTAATGTGAGTTGGAATTGATGTTTGATCAGAGGCAGACCCATGTGGTGGGTTCGGGGTGCACATGCACCCGTAACTTTGGAAAAAATTGGTATATATATGTCAATACTTTGAAGAACTATCATATATTTTAAAAGGGGACCCCTCCAACATATTTGTTGGATTGGATCATTTGGTTAGTCATTAGTGTGCCCCTTGGGCTCTTGAGCTTTGGTCATGACGCATGTTCGAATCTTGGCTGCTACATTAGTTTTTCGTTTTCAGCTAACAGTAAGAAAAATGCATAAAATATGTATGTGGCAGGTTTCAAACATGCAACCTAAATTAAGAATCAATCAATTGATCTTTGATACATTATCATAAAATATTATTTTTTTAAAATTTTTTTTGAGGATAGACCAAAAATTATCTTTCTATACTGGTGAAATTACCTTAATTTATTAGATATTATTCACGCATTATTTTGAATAGAAGTTTTGATTTTAGTACAAGATATATATACTATGGTTTTTGAAGTATAAATGATTAGAAGTACCAACATTAACCTTCTATTGTCTTTAGGGAATATAAGTAAATTCTCTTATTCACTAAGATGAGGAATTGAAACGAATTAAAAGTTTCTGAAAACAAGCTAATTGGATCAGTTGTTTGAATACTTGATTCAGTAAATTGGTAAAGTGATTGAGTAATTTACCTGTAAAATGTTAGTTAGCAGAGAAGAATTGGAAATATATGTTTATCTTGTTGTAAGGGAAACAAATTAATTTTGTTACTCAAATAATTGATTTCCTATATAATTGTAAATATTTGTTTTCCGGATATGGCTGCAAATATCCAACATGGTTGTGGATTTATAATTATCGCATAGATTTTATGACTTGCTGTTCAGATTAGAATATGGGTACAGCCATACACGTGTTCGGACGCAACTTACAAGAATTAATATACTTCTGTAGTTCTGTTGATAAAGTTCAAGTATAATATACTTCCCTTATTTTTTGTTTCCTGTAATCCGTATACAACAACATACCCAGTGAACTCCCACTAGAAAAAGAAGGCTAATTCCTGTAATCTGTATACATTTCCTTGAGGTAAATTATTTAGATTTCCATCAATTCATAAGAAAAATGTACTTCCTTATTTTTGGATCCCTGTGAACGTATACAACAATATACCCAGTGAAATCCCACTAGAAAAAGAAGGCTAATTCTTTTAATCTATATACATTTCTTTAAGGTAAATCATTTATATTTCCATCAATTCATAAAAGTAATATACTTTCCTTATTTTTGGATTCCGTGGTTCATATACAACGAGAACATAACCATTAAACTCACACCGTATACATTTCCTTAAGGTAATCATTTAGATGTCCATCAATTCATAAGGATAATATACTTTCCTTATTTTTAATTCCTGTGATCCGTACACAACAACAACATACCTAGTGGAATTCCAGTAGAAAAAGAATATTATTTCCTTTACTCCATATACATTTCCTTAATGTAAACCATTTAGCTTTCCATCCATTCATCAGAATAATATACTTCCCTTACTTTTGGATTCCTGTAATTTGTAAACGACAACATAGCCAGTGTAAAACCCACTAGAAAATGGAGGCTGATCCCTGTAATCCATATACAGTTCCTTAATTTAATTCATTTAGATTTCCATCAATTCATAAGAATAATCTATACTTCCCTTATTTTTGGATTCCTGTGGCTCGTATACAATAGCAACAATACCCAGTGAAATTCCACTAGAAAAAGAAGGCTAATTCTTGTACCCTGTATACATTCCTTAATGTAAATCATTTAGATTTCTAGCAATTCATAAGAATAATATACCTTCCTTACTTTTAGATTCCTGTAATCCGTATACAACAACATACCCCGTGTAAATCTCACTAGAAAAAAGAGGCTAATTCCTGTAATCCATAAGCATTTAATTAATGTAAATCATTTAGATTAATTATACTTTCCTTATTTTTGGATTCCTGTGATCCATATACAACAACATACACAGTGGAAAAAGAAGGCTAATTCCTGTACTCCGTATACATTTCCTTAATGTAAGTCATTTAGATTTCCATCTATTCATAAGAATAATATATTTTCCTTACTTTTGGATTCCTGTAATCCGTAGAAAACAACATAGCCAGTGTAAAACCCACTAGAAAAAGGAGGCTAATTCTTGAAATCCATATACATTTCCTTAATCTAAATCATTTAGATTTCCATTTATTCATAAGATAATATACTTTCCTTATTTTTGGATTCCTATGGTCCGTATACAACAACATAGCCAGTGAAATTCCACTAGAAAAAGAAGGCTAATTCTTGTAATCCGTACACATTCCTTAAAGTAAATCATTAAAATTTCCAGCAATTCATAAGAATAATATACTTTCCTTACTTTTGGATTCCCGTAATCCGTATACAACAACATACCCCATGTAAATCTCACTAGAAAAAGGAGGCTAATTCCTGTCATCCATATGCATTTCCTTGACATAAATCATTTAGATTTCCATCAATTCATAAGTAGAATATACTTCCCTCATTTTTGGATTCCTGTGGTCCGTATGCAACAACAACCTACCCAGTGAAATTCCACTAGAAAAAGAAGGCTAATTCTTGTAATCCGTACTTAACGTAAATCATTTAGATTTCCATCAATTTCATAAAACGTACTTCCCTTTTTTTTTGGATTCCTATGGTCTATGTACAACAACAACAACATTACCTAGTGAATTTCCACTAGAAAAAGAAGGCTAATTCCTGGAATCTGTATACATTTCCTTAGAATGTAAATTTAGATTTCCATCAATTCATAAGAATAATATACTTTTCTTATCTTTTGATTCCTGTTATCCGTGTACAACAACAATGGCGTACCTGGTGAAATCCCACTTGAAAAGGAGGCTAATTCTTGAAATCCGTGTACATTTCCTTAATGTAAATCATTTAGATTTCCATCAATTATTTTTATTGTGTTTAATTTAGTTTTGTATTACAGCAAGACAGATTCATTTTTGTATAGTTTCTTGTATGATTACTCCAGTTAGTTCAAGCTTTATTTGCCATTGATAGTCATTCTGATCAAATTAGTTTGTATACTTATTATAGCTACAAATAATTCATATGTTTTATCAATTTAGCAAGTCAATGATATCGACATCCAAGTCATTTTGTCCCTTGGTTCTTACGTAATCAATCATTTAATATTGTTGTTTCCCTCTTTCATTCATGTTGCTTGGATCCTACAGTAATGTAGCCACCTCAGTGTAGGGCCCTTCAAAAAATGCAAATTGTATCCCACCAATCATCGCCAATGAAGCTGAGTGACTAGTGAAATCATGATCATATAATTAAATCAAATATAGGTCGTAATTACAAAAGAATTGACCATTTGTTCAACTTATTAAATAGGAATCGAGTTAATTAACATTTTTGATTAATGATCTAATTATTTATCGACAATCTTAGTAAATAGTATATTTTGCTTATTGTGAAGGTACCATGTATATAGATAATCTTCTTAACTAATATTCATATATTATTCTTATCTTTATCAACATAAGTATATTAATTGTTGTTTCCTTTTCAACCTTCCTATAATACAAATTAATAAATAAGTGTATCCTGTTTCCACTTCATTTTTCTCTTTTTTGTTTTTTCCTTGCACTGATATTTGTGTCATCTCTGAGAATACCTTGTTATTTTGGATCATTCCATATTATGATGAACCTCTTCAGTTAGGTTTTCTTATATTTTTACTGCATATTGTGACATTTTGCAGGCTAATATTTGACTTGGGCGAAGCATATAAAGAGATTGCTTCACGAGAGTTCACATTAATTTACAACAGTAAGCTGTGTATTAAGTGTAAACAAGCTAATGATTCCATTTATAAGTGGGTTATGGAGCACATTTGATGCTACCTACTTTTGAAGTTGTCCGGACTTGCACCAATGGACAGGTGTTTTTCTAGCAGAGTGGTAGCAGTCAATCCAGACTCTTAGAGTGACTGCTAACTGTTAACATGAACCGACATTAGAACATTGCATTATATTTATCTCCTGCTGACGGAAACAACCGTTAAAGGGACAGCATCTGAACTCGGAAGAACTGGATTGCTTTCAGTTGCGGAGTTTGTTAGCTACTTGTATATACAACATGTAATGGCAAAGCTGAACTGCAAGTTTAGGCAGTGAGGGGTATTTCACCCTTGGCATAGGCTGGGAGGGAAATGCACCGAGTAATTGACTGATTCAAATTTTTGATTAACTTATAGACTTGAAATTTATTCTTATTTTCTTAAATGCACTTGTAAACCCCATTTTCTTTTATTTGCATTAATTAAGGCATTACAATCCATGTAAATTTTGTACATTTTTACGTAACTCAAGTGTTGGTTGTTTTTACTCAGTTCTCCCTGATCTGATGGAGTAGTAAACATAAGTCCCAAGAGCCATAATCACCATCACAGCAGCTCCAGCATTAACAAGCAGTTGTCTCTCTTCATTTAGTTCCACAATGCTTTTCTTCAAGTTGCTAATACTGCCAGTATAAAAAGAGGTACCAGCAGCTACATTACTTGTACTTTCCTTTTCTTTTGATCCTTTCTGGCCAACCTGTTCTTGAAACTCTTCTCTTAAATCTTTAATCTTTTCGGCAACGATCTTTCCACCTGCATCATGGCTCTCCTCCTTTCCAACGTCCTTGCCACTTTTGATCAGTTGTGTTCTGTTCTGATCCAAGTTTTCTTCTTTACTCTTTTGAATCTTTGGCTCAATACTCCCAACTAGACCTTCGAAGATTTTCTTTTCATCTTTTGGTTTTTCCCTTTCACCACTAGTTTTTCCTAATGTTGTTGCTCTAAGAGCTGGAAAATCTATATCTTCATCACCCATTTGAGTCTTTGATGATTCAGGGCTCATCAATTGGTCGTCAAAGAATTTCATTTCCTTTACTCTAGAATCTTGATCATTGTCAGTATTTTCAGGCTTTGGCAATTGAGCTGTGGGTTTTAAAGGGGTTGGTTTTCTTGGAGCGGCTTGAGTAGTTGGATAAGTTGTTTTTGGAGGAACATTATCGCCGTTTTGAGTCTTTGATGATTCAGCACTCCCCATTGTCTCATTTCTTGTAGATACTTTATCTTTGTCATCATGTTGAGGTTTTGGCAGTTGAGCTGTGGGTTTTAAATGGGTTGGTTTTTTTGGGGTGGCTTCAGTAGTTGGGTAAGTTGTCTTTGATGTCTCATTTCTTGTAGAATCTTGATCTTTGTCAGCACGTTGAGCTGTGGTTTTTCTTGGGGTTTCAACAGTTGGATGAGTGGTTCTGGGAGGAACATTATCATCCTTATGAGGGATTATGGGAGCGGATTGTTTTGTGTGTTCATCGGCTAACTGCTTTGGCATTTTCCATGGCATAGTGATAATGAGGATTCCATTCTCAAATTTGGCATGGATGCCTCTCATGTTACAGTCATCAGGTGCTTGGAAATCTTCTTGAAAGCGATGCCATTTGTTGCCTCCTACAAACCGTTCTCCACGCACTCTCACTGTGTTCTTGCCTTCTGTACTCACTCTGATGTTCTCCTTCATGAAACCTGCAGGTGAGTTCTATTAGTTTTGCGCTCTCTCTGAGTAAGCTATTGTCATGTACTATAGTTATGGCTCAAACAGTGCTATTTCTATAGACTCACCAGGAAGATAAATAACTAGTTTTTCAGCTTCTTCATCTTGATGCCGCTCATGAACAGGCCTAAAATCTTCGTAAACTGCCCGTGCTGCAGGTCCCCGATTAGGTCCAACGCCACCGCCTCTTGGTCTCATTGCCATTTTTTCCCCCTTCTAGTAAACAACAAATGAAAGGTTTATTTATCTTTGAAATAGTTGTTGAGAGTTTGAATGGTTTGATGAATATTTTGTGGGTTACAACTTCTTCCATTTTATATTGTGTTGGGTTTCAAAGAATTGCAAGTTCGGTTTGTGTTTCTTAGAGATGAAACTATTCCAATTTCATTGCTTCAAAATTCTCAGGTTTCTCCAAATGGAGAAGCTAAAGCAACAAAGCTTCTTTTTTTGTGCTCTACTCTTTCCCAAACCTTTCCAATTCATTAAGTTTGGGTTTATAAAAATTCAAACTCTAGAATTTTTTTAATGAGGTTTGAAATAAAATATAACGATTACATTAAAAAATGTATTTATGATTGTCATAATACGAAAAATATATTTGACTTGTATGCTATTATTTATGAACTTAACTACAATACCTTGGAGATTTATAGTTTAGATAACCGGCTAAATATTGAATAATTGCGATCGTAGTTAAAACTTAATGAGAAAATTAAGTGATTACGAAAACTTATACTACTTCAATTATTCATCATAGATATAGTCTGCTGTAATGATCATTCGCGACTAACATTAAATCATTAATTACGTGGTTTGACTTTGAGTTTGTATAATTAGTCACGTTTGTATAATTCGCTACACTTGTATAATTTGCAATAGCAACTTCTTCGTTTGATTTGTATTTGTATATGTCGATAATTTCCTTTTAGTTTTTCAGTTTTGTCACCATATACATTCAATTCTGTTGTATATAACTTTTTAAAGTTTGTATAAACGTGTAGTTTTCTGATTTTGTATAATATAATTTATATAACGTAACTTGGATAATATATATTTTGTATAACTGTTTATAGTTTATAGGTTTATGTTTGTATCAATTCATTTCGAGTTTTATTATATTTGTATAACTCAATACTTTATATTACTTAATTATACAAAAACACAGGAATTACAACAAACATACCCGTGAATTATACAAATGAGATACATACGTATAATATACAATTGTCTAACCGATATACATGTACAATTCACCTTTCTCCCGCTCTTCTGCCCTCTCTCCCTTGCCTCTCTCAATTTCGCTTTCTACTCTTCTCCCTATAACATGTAGCTAGGAATCGTAACTAGAAAAGTATAGCTATGAAGTGTAATTATGCTATTTTTTAGTGACTATACGCGAAAGTTCCACAAAGTTAATTATGAATTCGATAAGTGGCTATATGCCACAATTTCTCCGAGAACTTCAGGAGTTGTTCCTGAAAGCCCAATTGATAATCCAATTTACTCTCATAGGCCCAAGCCCTTCTAAACAAATAATCGTAATCCTAATTGCGATTTTGAAGACCCATTTATTCTGTCTTCTTCTTTCTTCATATACAGCAGAGGAGTTCAGATATGTATATATTACACACATTCACAATTGGGTAAGAGAGAGAGTTGCCGTCTCGCCGTCGATCGGAAAATGGAGAATTGCGACGTGTTAGTATCGTCAACTGCACCATTGGCGTAGCATGAATTCCTTCCGCGCATGCGTGATCCGAAGCCCTGCGATTTCATCAAATCCGTATCAATCTTCATCTTAGTTGAATCTAAGGTAGCTATATCAATTTATATATACTGCATAGCTCATTATCTCAGTTGAGTAGCACAGAATCATAATTGAAGAATGATTCAGTTGAACCTTTTTTTGTTTTCTTCTCGTCAAATGCTTGAGTTTTATTGTAGTACAACAACTACACCTCAGGCCCAAACAAGTACCTCAATGATTTTATGGAGAGAGTTCTCTATGCAAAGTGAAATTAATGGATATCGATTATAGAAAATGAATTATCTATATTGGGATTCTGGAATAGCTATGGAATGGTTGTCTCCAGAATTTTGAGACGATGGATGCATTATTAAGAAAACGTGACCGGTTTAATCTTCTCTGTCAATTTTTTTTTCAAATTTCTAACCTCAGTTAGAGCGATGCACTCAATCATCATTGTATGATACATCAAACAGGGGTTCACATATCTATATTTAAACACTTTTTAAAAAAATATAGCACTACTATATATGATTTCAGGAGGGGAGCATGTATTCACTGAATACGCCTAAGAAACTTGTAATCAGCTGGTTATCTTAGCATAATTTCTTCCCATACTAATAACATAGATGGATGAATTCATGGGCTTTGGGTTTCTACTACTAACTGATCTAAAGTCCTATAAAATACTACTGCATATTGAATATTTGCATATATTTGATCAGTTAAAATTAACATAACCAACTATGCTTGCCTTTTTAACTCAACTAGGAACCACAGGAGGTTTAGGTTGGTATAAGTATGTCCATTAGAGAAAAAATGTTAATACTAATTGGAATCTCAAGGGTTTTGGTTCAATAGTAAGGACACAACTTGAGATATGCAGCTAGGGTGCAAATCACAAGTTCGAACACCGCTGCCAACAAGAACCCTGAAATTTAACATGATAGAGGAATAGGCCTATACTCAACCGAGTTTCAAACCCATGATATTTACATGCTGATTTTTTTAGTATACTGAAGATTCAGGATTCTCCATGATATTAATAAATATCAAATCAGAAAAGCATAAGTAACAGAAGGAAATTCTATCCTTCAGAAACAGATCTACAGATATCTCAACATTGAAGGGACAAAAAACTTCGGATTCTTGAATCATCTATATTTTCCCATGTCTTAATTAGAGTTGTTATTGGTACTGTGCCTAGAATTACCAAGTCTGATTGTCTCATTTTTCCTTTTATCTCAACATGCTTATATATGTCATACCTTTTCAGTAAAAGGTTCAGGTTGATGTTTATACAAACTTACTCCCAACATATGGAATTAATGAATTGTGTTATTCATGGATATCACATTCTCTGTATTCTATGCTTGTGGATGGTTGTAGGCTGCATATCTATTGATTATAAGTTTAGTTGTTGCTGTGTTGTTTGTACTTTGTTTGCTCATATTCATATTATTTTAAACAACAGGGACTTTAGAAGTATGTCATGAAAAAGCTATTTACACGTACATTTGTTGATGAATGGCTTCATGAGAAAATTTCTGTGATTCAACAATTTGTTAGGCCTGAGAATCTAGATATCAAGCCAACATAAAAATGAATCATCATGATTGGTAAGTGAACTCTGTAAAAAGTAAATTTCTGGTGAATCATTCATTGATTCTGTTCAAGATATTATGAAACGGATGCAAGTACAGGGATTTTGGTTCTTAACTGCTACTATTTTTGCCACTAGGATAGGATATGATTTCTCACTTCATTACTTTTTTTGGGATTTGGGCCTGTCACTCATAGAATGATGATGCATGGGCTAAGCAATAAAATTACCAATTTTTATATAAAAGAGCAAAATGCACGTATCTTTTGACAGTTTGATGGTTCAGTAGTCAGTAAATGTACATAATTTTCCCAAACAAAGTGTTGTGGGCAAAACAATTTATCTAATTGATTTTTTTAAACAAAAAATAAAGCCAACCATACATCTTTTGTGAGTTTTAGGGATATATATATATATACCATGTATGGGTTTACACACATTTAATTGGTACAGCCATCTGTTTACAGTAACATGTCAAGGCCGGGAGTATGCAAAATTCAGAAAATATTTTTAAAGAACCAAAGTACACACACATTTCCTTTATAGAAACGTCTTCTTTAGGCTGTCCTTTTGAGTTGTGATCTTGATTACAATAAGTATAGCTCTTTCACCCTGCCATAAATATGCATAAATATTTCGTGAATGTCATTCTGCATTTAGATGTCTTAACTATTTCATTACATGCTACACTTTTTACAGCTTGCGCAGAAGTGCTACAAAAGATAAATATGTACAGGGCACCAAGAGACAAACTTGTGTGCATTCTTGATTGTTGCAAGGTTATAAATAAACCTCTTGACTTTTATTTCAGCAAATGATAACCCCTCCAGGAGCAGATGATTTTCTTCCAGTTCTCATTTATGTCACTCTAAAGGTAAGCTAGCTCATTTGCACTGATCTGATATACTACTTCACAAGTGAACCATGAAAAACATTTCCAAAAACAGTCTGCCCAACCTTTTTTTGTACTTCCATTTGATCTTTTCTGCTCAACCTTTTCTTGAAACTCTTCTCTTAACTCTTCACTCTTTTCAGAAATAATCTTTCCACCTGCATCATGGCTCTCCTTCATTTCAACTTGCTTGCCACTTTCTGTAAACTGTGTTATGTTATGATCCAAGTTTTCTTCATTACTCTTTTGATTCTTTGACTCAATACTTTCTACTAGACCTTCGAAGAATTTCTTCTCATCTTTTGGTTTTTCCCTCTCACCACTAGTTTTATCTAATGGGGTTGTTCTAAGAGCTGGATAATCTATATCCTCATCACTCTTTTGAGTCTTTGATAATTCCACATTAATCAATTGGTCGTCAAATGATTTATTTTCCTTCACTCCAGAATCTTGATCTTTGTGAGCATGTTGAGGTTTTGGCAATTGAGCTGTGGGTTTTACAGGGGTTGGTTTTCTTGGGGCAGCTTCAGTAGTTGGATCAGTTGTTCTGGGAGGAACATTATCACCTTTTTGAGTGTTTGATGATTCAGCACTCCCCGATGTCTCATTTCTTGTAGAATCTTGATCTTTGTGAGCATGTTGATGTTTTGGCTGTTGAGTTGTGGGTTTTACAGGGGTTGGTTTTCTTGGGGCGGCTTCAGTAGTTGCATAAGTTGTTCTGGAAGGAACATTATCACCCTTTTGAGTATTTGATGATTCAGCACTCCTCGATGTCTCATTTCTTGAAGAATCTTGATCTTTGTGAGTATGTTGAGGTTTTGGCAGTTGAGCTGTGGGTTTTACAGGGGTTTGTTTTCTTGGGGCGGCTTCAGTAGTTGCATAAGTTGTTCTGGAAGGAACATTATCACCCTTTTGAGTATTTGATGATTCAGCACTCCTCGATGTCTCATTTCTTGTAGAATCCTGATCTTTGTGAGCATGTTGAGGTTTTGGCTGTTGAGCTGTGGGTTTTACAGGGGTTGGTTTTCTTGGGGCGGCTTCAGTAGTTGGATAAGTTGTTCTGGGAGGAAACT